TGTATTTTTCTCATAAAACTCAATGAATTGATTCACCGAACTCCGCTTCAGACTTACTAGAGGCCTTCCCATGGCCAGCAGGAGAGGACTTGTGTAATAATAATAATAATGATAATAATAGCATTAGCGCTTTTACAGAAGCTCAAGAACACTTTACAAAAACATAACAAAAATACAGTGCTGAGGCAAAGATTAATAGTAACAAGCTAAAAAAAATAAGGTAAAAAAGAATAAAAGAATACAAGTGGGAGGGGCAGATGTGAGGGGTGGGATAATGGTGAGTCAGGGGGGTCAGGTAATAAAAGCGAGTGTGAAAAGGTGGGTTTTGAGGGGAAAATTTGAAGCTGATGAGGTCTGGGCATTCACCGGTGTATTTAGGGAGGGAGTTCCAGAGGGTGGGGGCGGAGACGCTGAAGGCCCGGTCCCCCAGGATACGGTGCTTGGTTTTGGCTGGGGGTGAGAGGAGTTTTGCGTCAGCTGAGCGGAGGGGGCGGCTCGGGGTGTGGCGGAAAATGAGGTCAGACAGGTAGGGGGGGCCAGGTCGTGGAGGGACTTAAAGGTGACATGTAGACATGTTCTTTTTCATTTGTCCTGGGGTGGAGGGAGATACGACTGATTAACTTATGGAGGTAACCATTTTCACTGCACAGAGTTAGTTTTTATCTAAATAAGCATTTTCAAGGCTCAGGCTTTGGCAGTAGGGGTCGCGGGGGGGCTGGAGCCTATCCCAGCATCTTCGGGCAAAGGCAGGGGACACCCTGGACAAGTCGCCAGTTCATCCCTGCTCATCAGCTTCTCCACATATACACCCTCCTCCTGTCAATTCACTGATGGATTATTCCTTTACTCTTGGTGGGTTAACTGGTGTTTCTCAAATTCTGCTAGAGAGGTTTTTCCATGCATTTGGAAATGCACACACAGTGTATTTTCCTTGTGCATACTTCTACCAGTGGTGGCAGCTTCAGTTTTGGATAACAGTTAGGCTACACCGCACAAGCCCTGCCAGCCAGCAGTTGTTTTTTTTTTTCACCTATACAAGCTCAGTTTTTGTCAAAAAATAGGCTCAATTTCTGCTGTGTCCAAAACCAGAAACCCAACATAACGGAGCATGATTGCATTTCACTGCCTAATGAGAGGAACGTCTATCTATTTCCTCCATCCTGCAGGATTTTGTGGTAATAAAAGGATTTATCTAGTGCACATTTCTAAAACAATTAACTTGACAAACTCAGTTTTTCAAAGACAAATGCATTCTCTACCCTGTGGGCTTTTGTAAGATACAAATAAAATGCCCTTGTCAGTTCATTTACTGAAAGTTTTCTTATTTAATGTTGCTCAGTGTAACAGTGTTAGTCCGATGTTGCTGATTTGCAGTCCTCTTTGACATTTCCAAAACTAGATTTGTGTGTGTGTGTGTGTGTGTGTGCGTGCGTGCGTGCGTGTGTCTGTCTGTGTTTCTCATAGTCTTCTCAGTTTCTCGGAAAAATTAAAGTGGGTTTTAAAAACTTACGATGAAGACTTCACTGTACCAGATATCGCTGAGAAAACTTTCTCTATTTTTGAGTTAGGTTTAAATGATATTCCATGGTGTAGGCCACAAGTTTTTCTGAATGTAGTTCAAGAATAAGAAAGGGAACTAATCAAATATAAAGAACTTAAGGTACTCCAAAACATAATGATAAAGTTATTTGCTCCAATACTTGATAGCTTGGATCATCACCCCTTGTTATTTTACTGTATTTATCTTTTATCAATCACACACTGCACACATATTTCGCTTGTTTTGGAGCACTAGATAATGATTGGTGACTGTATGCAAATGTCTTTTTTTTTTTTGGAGGCACGATGCTCATTATTTTAAATTGATGCACTTATGTGTTTTGTTATTTCATAGCAACAGCATGGCACTGTTGTGACACTGATAAATGTAAGACATCCAGCAACATTTTGTCATCTACAGATAAAGAGCCCTGCTGTCACCATGTGATACCCCTCTCTCTCTGCTGTCTCCATTCTTTTTTTTTTAACATCCACTCTTAATAATCTTTTCCGTATATCCAGTCCACCTGGAAATGTCAGAGCCACAAGGCACAAGTTCACGAGTCTGCAGTCACAATGTCTTACTTTAAACATTCCTCTGGCTTGATCTACTTTTCCTGACATATTACCAAGGATATTCTTTTATTGTATATCTTAAAACTTAAATACTATAAAATGGTTCCACTAATGCTTTGACAGACAGAAAGAGTTTTCGAGAGGCTCTTATTAAAATCTAAAGAACTTAACAATTCAGAAAACCTGACAAAAATAGATCTAGTGTTTGTCTTAAGAGGCGGTCCAGGAAATTCATTTTAAATGATAAAAATGTAAATCATGTCCATGTTTCCCAGCAGCTGGTGTCTTTATGTCAACACATAAATGATGTGAGGTCAGTCACAAGAACAATGCAGTGCGACAGTGTGCTCAGAAAATGATAATCACTGAGTTAGTAGCAGATTTGAAATATGAGGACATATAAAATATGACAGAATTAAAAAACCACTGGCTGGTTTTATCATCCAGAGATTTTAGAGAAGCGATAAACTTAACCCAAATGTGTGTTTGCCCTGCCCCCTCCACAACCCATCTACTGGATTTCTAGATAAAAGAGGGAATAGCCTCTGACACTAAGTGAAATGATTAAAACCTTCAATAGGCTAGTCTGTGTGAATTAAACCTCTGAAAAAGACCTTGCTTAATGTTTTAGTAGATAAGTAGCATTAGACAGCTTAAGAGTTCAGACCCATGCATGTTATTGGAAATCAGTTTCAAGATGATAGGGGCTGAGAGGGAAAATAGGGTTACTGTATATCTTATCTTTGAACCTCGGGTGTTTAATGGGCTGCCTCTAGGATTATCACCGGCCTCAGCAGATGTTCATTTCCAGAACATATGTCAAGGCTTAAGCCCAGTGTAAACATTACCAGTGGACAGAGTTTATCAGTTTTGGAACAGGCTTCACATTTACGGCCCCTGAGCAGTAAAGCTGAATATGTCTGTGGTACAGGCCTCTACAACTACTGCTCCATCACCTTGGTGTGGCTGGGAACCAGGAAGGGCATGTTTGATTAAAATCTGCTTCTGTATTTCAGGAAATGAAACTTAGAATACACTGTTACATTTCAAGCTGATTTTGAAAAGCACGAATCTTCCTTCCTAGTATTCTCGTTTTTTTTGTCAAGAGTTGTCGTTGTGTGTGTTTGTGTGTAAATGCCAGAGATGAGCAACCCATATTTTGCTTTCTAGCAGCAAATGCCTGACATAACTTTCTGCAGCGTTTCAGAGGCTACAAAGACTCTGTGCCATGTTTTCAGTCCAAGAGCCACCCCCAGTCTTATTTAAAAGGTGGAGTTACGTCTGACAAACCCATCTGTGATTCAACAAACAGACCCTCTTTTTTAGAGCATGGTGACACTGCTTCTTCACAGTAATAGCCAAATGGTGATGGAAACCTATAGCCAACCCTTAGATAAATGGTCTGACTCTAAGCCTGTGCTGCAGCCCGAACAGAGTTGTCCCCAGGGATTCTGTAGATGTTATCACATTGAGCTCACCCTCCATAGCTGGTCAACCATAAATGATTGCCATTATATATAGCTATCAAACTGTATTTTCTGGCACTGTAATAACAAAACAGGCCAGTTTTCAACATTCCCATATCCTTTACACTCTTTAATTTCTTTGACATGAAACGATTGTACGTTAGTTTTGGATGTTTCTTTATCAATGCCAGCACTTCATACTCCTTTTGATTAGAATGGAGTTACTTAGAGTATTATGGCATATGTTTTTATTTAATATCTCTCACACCTACTGTATGCTCAAAGGAGACTTCAGTCAAGGAATTTTATGTAAATTAATGGTTCTGGCGTAATCTTTTCATCCTAATTCTTCAGTGTAGTAATAAAGTGACTACAGCCATTAGGCACACTCCTCCATCCACATCCATTTGTACCACTTAAGGCTACTGAAATAGCATCAGGCAGGTATACTGAATTGGTTTCAAGCTGCAAAGCTTAGTATGGCAGTATAGACTTTGTCATGTCGCGTTCACACCAAGCACGAGTAAAATCATCTGCTTTCATTCCTTCATCTTTCCCAAGTTAATCAGCAGTTAAAATTAATGGCGATATTTGGGGGAAACCACATTTTCAAGTAAAAGCTTGCGACGTACAAATAAAAAAACGATTTATGAAGTTAGTGATTGGCCTTGAGATTCATATTTTTAAGTACGTATTACACGAGACAAATCTAATAATGATGACTGTTGACCTTTGCTGCTTCCTCTGCAGTTTGATTGGTGTGTTTGTTTTGTTCAAAGTCTATGTCTTTTGTTCAAATATACATTTTTCTCACAGTTTATAGTTTAGGAATGAGCACAAATTTAAAATTGATACTTGAAATACTGTACCACAGCTTTTTTAGAAAATAAGGAAGAGTGGATGATGCCAGCCAGTGGCAACAGTCACAGATTTCTGATTCCAGCCATGATGTTCCTAAGGTGATGTTGGACATCAAGATGCCACAGATGGAGGATAACAAGGATGATGAGGAGTCTGAAGAGGACTGTCTGACTGATGTGGTTTATTTCTGTGAGTGAGTGTCCTCAGCTACCTTAGTTACCTGCCTCTTTCTTGAGTTTTGTGCCTTTTGCTCAGGCAAGCCACAGCTGACAGACAACAGGCAATAGTTGTCTGCTGCTTTTTTCCTGATGCTAATCTGCATATTCATTACTGTTCTTCATGCACAGTTGTCCAAATTGTCTATGCCTTGTGTACGGTATCAGTTTTCGCTTGTGTTAAACATCAAGTTGAAACAAACCCTCAAAACTATATCCTTTATTTTTCATACAACTCAGTCATGGTTGTCCCAGTGTGAGAAATTCTGCCAAGAGAGTCAAAAGTTTAATAATATGTCACTTGATACAATCCCAAAGGACACACTATTAAATAAAGTTTTGAGACACTTTTGCCAAAGCTACAGCCTTATTAGGCTTAGTGACAGGACTTGAATATGTCTTGATTTGGGCTGGAGCAGAGATGCAAGTTTTCTGTAGAAACAAACAACCAAAGAAAGTGACAAGCTGTCGCGAAAAATGTAAAAATGCTTTTTTTTCCTCCTTTTAGTCTCATTTTAATGAGCTTCTTTTAAACTGAAGATAGAGTTTGTCTCCTTATAGCTTTTTCAGCATTTTCCATGTCTAGATTTTAATACAAAGAAATATTCTTATTTATATTGAGCAAATTGACAGCTTGATTGTCAGATTAATACATTAGATGGACAGAAAAAAATTACTTGTGAGTGATTCAGTTGTCCGTTGGGAGGTATGAGTCAGGTCAGTTTCACTTCAGAGAATCTGAAAAGGAAGTGGTAGAAGTTTAGTTGCCAGAGCTAATGTAAAATGATCCCTGTGTATACTGAGAAGATTGGAAAAACTCAATAACACCAGTATGATCATGTCAGTAATCTCTTGTCCAATAGACTTGACAACAGCTGATCCCTGCTCCAACATAAAGCACAGTGGATTTCTTTCCCCTTTTTTGCCTCACTGCTGATAATATAGCATCATCTGTTAGATGTTCTTGTTTAATCTGTATATTACCAGATTCTGAGGTTAGACCACTTGATCTAGAGCTAAAATGATTCCTTGAATGACTGGAGAACCGAGGTTATTGAAAAGGCTCAAGGAGAATAATTTGCCTCAAGCCTTTGTACAAATCAAGACTGTATAGCTCCTTGTGCTTTGCTCTCTTTGAATGGAATTATGGCCATAGAACAACTATCAAATGTAAACTCTGAATAGCCTTATGTACCCAAAAACCTTCATCCACCAGCAGTAAAACAAAAACACTAGCCCAACAATTTTTAAAAACATTTTTACAGTAATTGATTTAATTATCTTTTTCTAGTACACAGAGAGAGTGTGTCAGAACCAACCTGCTGCCCCGAGACAGAGAGAGACAAGAAACCACTTTTAATTGACTGATTTTGGAGTGCTTTAAGACCTATGGAGCTGTAAAGCTGTTCAAACATTTCATTTTATGTCCCATTTGGTATAATGTCACACCATAAATATCTTGTTAGTGATTGAGAAAAAGCATCGGCTTTTATTGCTTTTATTGTCACATCCATTTTTAAGCTCGCAGAGTCTTTCCTGTCACTCTCTCAGTTTGGTTAAAACTACATCCTGATCAACTGGTGGGAGATTGATATTGATGGGTGTTGATATGCTGTGACTGACCATTAATAATCATTTAGACAGTATGCTTGTCACCTTTTTACCTTTTTTTCTGGGACAGAAGGCTGTCCTGCTTTTTCTGTTGAGCAAACTTGACTGTTTGACAGCAACCAGGTCTCACTTTCTTCTTTGCTGGTCTATGCAGGTACATGTCCTATTTTTATTTTAATTTTTTAACTTAGGTGGGGCACTGACATCGGAAAGGGTGGCCAGGATTTTTGTGAACGTATAGATTATCAGCATTTACCCTCTCTGTCTTGTGTATCTCTACTTTAACAATTATCATTAAATTGCATACTGTTCAGATGATACATTTCCGTGCATAATTAAGTCTAACGATGGGTTATTAGTGAAATTGCATTAGTCTAATGAACTTAAAGTATATTTATATAGGCCTAGGAAGATGACAAGAGGAGATAATCCTTCATTGTTACCACAACAGGGAAATTTGTATTGTTACAGCAATATTGGCGAAAAATAGGTTTTGTGAGAAAAATTGCTTTCCATTAGGTTACTTAATTAATAGCCAGAGTAATCATGAGAATACTGGATTACTAAAACATGTGATCACTGCAGCTACTGTTACATCAAACAAGAAACTACTGTCTAAAGGAATTTATTTCATTTAAAGGCTCTGGGTTTGCAGGTTTTAACTCAGACAAAACACCTTCACTTTTTTGCATACAGCATTGAAAGTCAGTCTGCTCCTTAACATGAGTCGAATCAGCTTTTTGTGACTCATAAAGGGACACATCAAATGTCTTAGTATATACAGTTCAGCTTTCAAGATTTGAACTGAAGTACACATCCTGATGTCAAGGTGGGATATTTATGCCCTGTGACACCTCTTATACAGAGTGTAACACAAAGAAGCATAAAGGTGGTCACACGCTGAGACGCTGGGTGGGGTGCAAGTGCAAAGCAAGGTGAGAAACTCCATTACAGCGCTGTTTGAGACCTATGCTAACAAATTCAACAATTTTCTGTGTCACCCACAAAACCTTTTGTCATCAGTAGTTTGTGCTAGAAGAGATATCAAATGTGGAACTTTTGGTTGGTATTAGTTTAGCTATTCAAACCCTCAGTTCTAAATACACCCTCACAATTTCTGTCTATTGTACCTGATACTTAATTGTTTAATTATGTTAATTCTGTACTCACAATACCACAGCAGAATAACTTTTTGAGATGATTATTTTGACCACGTCACGCAAATTAGAGTTGGAGTTATCCCTTTACTCTTTCAGTCTTTTATTTCTTCTGTGAAGTTTTTATCTTATTACTAAAATGAATCACCTGAAACCCTCAGACATAAGTGTACCCAAGGTACCATTATTTTTTAAAATATTAAGTTTAATTGGCTGAGAGATTAATAAAGCCATCAAAGGTTAAACTAATAAATGGTTGACTGTCTCTTTGTGTCTAATGAGTTGAGCTAAAATATTTAAATTGTGCCGTCGTCCTCTTTAAAGATTTTTGTGCCCTCTTCATTAAGTTCTTTTTGAATAACTGCCGACCAAGAATATGGAAGAAGATAACCATAACTAAGTCCACAAAAGAGGCAGAATATGAAGGAAGAATTTGATACGCAGCAATTTATTTGAAATATAACCCACATTGGCAGCTGTGATTATCAAGAACCATTGTAATCACTTCTGCTCATTTTTCAGAGGGTACGTCCCAAATAGATTCTTGATTCTTAAAGGACAATCATCAAATATACATATGCTAAAACATCTTTTTTGATTCGAAGATTAAAGAATAAATGAGGGCTTTAAGGTGAATTTTATCAAAATGTCAGCTAAATATGTTGACTATAGGAAGCTACACCACATGATGTGAATTGTATTTAGCTATTATGGCTTTAATAATGTCTTTAACAGCTGAGGATTATTTTGAGGATTATTTTGATCTGTGCTGGACGGGGGTGTTTTCTTGTTTCACTTATGTAATCAGAAGACGACAAGGAGCTTTTCAGTTTTGAGATCATGCTAATGAATTGATGTATATCTAATTAAGTTTTTTCAGTTTCTACTTGCCGGGTCAGACAGCTCAAGTAATGCGCTGATTTACAGTGAAGTGTCTCTTACCTTTGACAACCTCTCAACTAAGAGCCATCCAGCTTTGAAATACATTCATGGTTGTCAAGCTATCTTGTTTTGAGAGCTGCCGGCCAACCCTTGACAATCAATAAGGCAAATTACATACAAGTGAAATGTACCTATTTTCCCCCAAAGCTTGACACAAATGCGAGTTCATAGACCCTCATTGCACCAGAAATATTTCAGTCCAGTATTTTTGTTCATACATGATTACATTCTCATCTGATTTTTATACAAAATGTTATTTTCAGTGCATGACATTATATCTGCATGTGGTCAAGATTCACATGATGGTCTGACCCTTACTTGTGGTGATCACTTTAGCATATAATTGCCCTTTTTGTAAAGAGGAAATAATAAAATGATCATTTCCTTTTGTATTAGTCTTTTTTCCATTTCTTCTTGCGCAAGTCTGTGAAGTTAAGGTGGTTATTCTTGTGAAATCTCTGACTTAAGTAAGGATAAAGACCTAAGAACTGCATGTCTTCTACCAGGCAGTGCTGTTCCATACTAACCACTACTCAGAGCCAATCAGCAAGTATAGCTGGATGATTACTCATCCACATGAGTGTGGAATTGGACAAATTGGAGTGTCTTGTCACCCAGCTCAGTGCTTTTTATGGCATCAAGCTAAAATTGAACTACTCCAAGACTAATTGTCTAACAACCTAAAGTGCCTGCACCTGAGAGTGATGCAGAGAATTGAATCTTACTACGGACAAAGACACATAATGACAGTCAATCCCCGTTTGAAAAAATAATACTGAGAGCTGCTTTTAAAATTAAATCAAAGGGAGCTCTTGAGAAAGCCAAGGCTGGGGACATTCCTATGAGGCTCTTTAACTACCCCAAATTGCATTAGGAAATGAAAATCCTTCATCAAGATCTATTGTTTATTAAAAAAATAACCTTAAATTGTCAAATTAATTCCACATTGTCTCAGTGTTCCCTGTGAACAGAGGGAAAGACTCAACAGCATAGAATCTAGAAGAACTCATGATTGCAGTAATTTCTGTAAAAGTGACCAGAACTTACCTAGTGGCTGGTGAATGGTAAGAAAGTACCTCTTCTTTGGGTTGGCACATGAATTCATCTCTTCGTCGCTTTATCAGCAAAACAAAGAAAAGAGTGTGAGTCTTTGTCACTGCAGAAAAGCTGCTCAGAAAATTATATTCAACCTTTGAGGGGCAAGTCCTAAAGATTTGACTGTGTAAGCAGTAATGTCAGTTCATCCATTCCTCCATTTATCCATCTGTCATCCATCCTTTCATCCATTTGTGATACATGCATATATCTATCCACATATCTGTCCATCATCATCACACTCATCCGTCTCTTCATTTTCCCATGTATCCATTTATCATCCACCCTTGGTGTCATTTTTTTTCTTGGATTGAAGGATATCAGAATGTTAAGCATTATGCTGATTGATTTAAGGTGGAGTTAAACTCAATGATCGTCTGCAAGGACAAATAAGCACGTGGGAGGGAGTTCCAATCCAGAGTTTTTATTTTCGTATGCATTCAGCTGGTTTCTCTGGAGAGGGGAAGAAAGGAACAACAAAAGTGAATTAAATCAAATACAAACAGGATCGATATCATAATTTCCATCAATAATATCAGAACAAAGTAACTAAAATGATTCTAATACATGTAAATGAAGAAACATCCTTTCTTAACCATAAAATTATATACAAGTCAGGATAATAAATCAAAGATGAGGCGTATAATAATTTAAACAAAGCAAACTCACGGGGTAAGCACAAAGTGAATGCTGCTGGAGGTGTTTCTCTGTGAGCTAGCTCGATTGTCTCCTAAGTTCTCAGAAAGAGTTTGCAGCCTTTAATGACTCTGGGGCTCCTCCCATGCAGGGAGCCTGGAGTCAGGTAGGAGAGTCAGAGAGGGAGAGGGGATTTTCCACATAGATTCCTAAAAGATGAGTCAAAAATAGTGTTTTAGTTCAAACCCCAATAAACTGTAACAGGTATCAGATTAAAATAGAGAGACCCTAACCCAAAAGAATGTGTGCACTAACAACAAAAGAATAAGATACATTTGCACATTTGGCAGCTTTAATCCAGTCTGTCTGAACCCTTTTGTGTTTGGGTTTCATATGAATTTAAAAGGATAACATACTTAAAGAAGTTTGTGCATGACTGTGCATGTACACAGAGTAGACGTTAATCCAGCAAAGTTAACATGACTTCACCGATGAGTCTTTCTTTTCCCAACTCTGCCGGTCATTTCATTTCTTGCGGCGCATGTGCCTGTCAGAGGGAATGCAGTCATATCTAATCATTGACTGCCATTTCTATAGAGTGATATTATATTTGCCTTTGTGCTTGGCCAGTATATTATTAAGGCACATCTCTCTGGGGATCAGTTCGGCCACATGGTTTCTATGGTTACCATTGTGCCAATACCTTTTTATAAGTTCCGTGGACATTGCCGCCTAATTACTTCTAGAGTTCAAATCCTCATTTCATATATACCCACCTTTATTTCTATTCATAATGGGGGATGTAAAGGGTAAAATTTGTCAAAGGTGGGCTGAAAGTACGGGGAAAAATCATGTACCGTGCTTGACTCCAAAGTGAGATCGGGTGATGCAACTGTAAAGAAACTTCTCAGGATTACGAGCGTCTGGCTTGTAACTATAGCCATCAGATAGTCCATATTACATGAAGCATCATAGCAATGATGCAGCAGAGGTGATGTGTTTCCTTTATAGTAACCTCATGAAGCAGAGGCTACAGTCTGCTACGGATCAGTTTATAGAGCTTCTCCTCTCCATAAAACTCAGCCTCACCTGGGGGAAAATATTTCCTCATCCAAGTCACACCCAGCATGACCCAGAAAACCAAATGGAAAGCCACGATTGATTTCACCTGCACCTGTTCCATATTTAAATTAAATCCAATCCAGATGTCTGTCCTGACAATAAGATGTACCATAGCCTTTTCAGAATTCAAATGCCCCCTCCTCTGTTTGATTTTGAGAGTTTACTGTATATTACCTCCTCTCCACTTTCCTCATAACTACTATCTGCATGCAAACTACTATCACAAAACTCCTGAACTTGTGCCATAAAATAACAACTCTTTGTGAGAAAATAGAGAGCGCAAATAAAATAAAATAAAATCCAACGTCAAATCCAGTTTTGAGATCTTGTCAGCTGTGTTTTTCTAAAGCTTAGAGGCCCAGAATTGTAGAACTTTAACCTCAGCTGCTCCAACAGTTTGGCTGGTAATTTCACATATGAGCTGTTGTATGTTGCATTCAGGTCAGCAGGGGTCACAATTCCTCACATTTAAATGTCAGCAAGGAAAGCAAAAGGTTAACATCCCGTGAGTGTGAAGTTGGCTCCAAACACTGAACTACAAAAGTTCTGCAGAAATCTGCTGACCGGGCTCGGCTATAATGAGTATTTTGTTGGGTTTCTGAGTGTGAGGGCTGTATGCCGGCCTGTCTGATGGGTGGAAGTTTGGCTCTACTGTGCAGAAAGAAATAAAAAAAGCCCTCCATTTGAACTGAGAGTATGGTGTGCCGTGTTGCATGTGACACAGCACACACACAGAGACGCCAATCTCCCCATCACTGCACACTTTCAATTAGGATTTCTCAAAACAGAGTAGCAGTTGTTCCTCGTGGTGTTAAATCGTGCGCTCCTTGAGTCATCAATTCCTGCAGAACCTGAGAAAATCAGCATCCAGCATCTTTTAATTAACAGGCTCTAAATTGGTCTGAACTGTTGACATTTGCAGGTGTTTACATGTTTATATACTGTGACACTCACAAGTTATCAACATAAAGTTTGAAATTAGGCAAAGATGGAGGCTGACGATGGAGTGAAATATTGCATCCCTCCTCTGGCAGGTGTTGACGTACGCGGCAGCTGTCTCTGCAGCTGGGCCATGGCGGTTGTAATGAGCGAAGACAACACTCTCACTGCGTGCCCCAATGTTCCTATCACGCAGGAAGTCAATCAAAAACCATCATGGCCACTTAGACTCTCTAAATAACACAGAGGGGAAGAGGGAATAAATGTAAGGCTACTGAGCATAACCTTAAAAATTTAAGGTATGTAAGAAACAGGTGATTTATCAGCAGACATTCTCTGATTTATGAGGAAATGTGTCTTTCTCCTCTTTTTCTATTCAAGGTTGACTCCTACATACAGACACCCTCTCCACCTCTACAATATGCAGCTTTTGTACATAAAAAAGAAGCTGTTGCTGAGGTGTGACAGCTTCACTTTAATCTTTATATTTCAAAACCGCTCTTAGTAAACGTGAATACAACAGTCCGAACAGTATACATATTACTTTTAAGAATATAAGGCTATAGCTGCTCCTTTTGCTGTCCATGAATACCTGCCAGAAGAACATAAATCATTGTCTTGTTCATCACAAATGAGAACTGTCACTTCAAATGAAGCCGGCAATAATGAGCCACAATCACAATTTGGAGCAATCAGTCAGCTTTTTCAAGTATCATTTGCTTTGATATATTTGATTTTTCTTCCATTGATTGGCTGATTTTTTTGATTACAGATGTTAAACAATGTAAAAGTCACAATGAATGAATTCCCATGTAAAGTGTTTTTTCTCTGCTGTTCATCAAAGTGATTAAAAACCAGTTTGTAGCTGGAACAAAACTTTAAAAAAATGTTCATTCCTGTCAAGTAGTGACATGCTTTTCTGTCTGTCTTATAATATCTGACTTAATATTCTAATGTGGGGCTGTCAGCATAAAAAAAATCCCCTCACAATAGATAATAGGATGATTACATACAGAATCAAGAACAAAGAAGAGCGTGAAAAAATACATTTAAAAGTCGTCATTATGCGCTGTTTCCTCTCTGTGGTGTTGTTTGGAGGGGTTGTGTGTCTCTGTGCGTGTGTGTGTGTCTGAGAACAAAAGTAATGTGAAATATTTTAAATGATTTTATGATGTCAGGGCTCCCCCCATAGGGAATGATAAATAGTCCATGTAGACAGGTTCAACCAGCTACCTGGATTTTTTAAGAGCCCGGCCCATCTGCATGCGCAAGTGGACACTTATAACTGGCATATAATTATGGACCAAGGATATGGCAACCTTGCCTGGGAGTGTGTATGCGTGGATGATGCGAGACTTGTGAAAGTCAAACAGCTACTTATGAGTTGAAGGTGCATGCCAGCTGACATGAAAAATCTGGTTTGTTGGCCTAAGGGCAGCAAAGAATGTTGATGGGGGAAGCTGGAGGCTCGTGATTACTCCCTGAAGCATGCAGCGCTCTGCATGACGAGCCTCCTCCACATGACTCGGACATCCACAGTGACCTCTAGACAATGGTCATACATTAGGACAGCCCCTGTGAAGCTGAGAGACGGAAATAAGTAGGAGGAGGGAGAAGTGTTGTAACAAGGAGATCAGTCAGAAATGTGGATAACTCAATGCTTCATCCACCTCTGTGCAGCAAATCAATTACCGTAATTCCTTCCTGCTGCACCCGTGAGAGTAAACACAGAGGGAGGAGTACAGCTGCTAATGATTGAACCTCTAGCAAAATGAATATTTTTCCACTACTCAATACTTCCCTAAATTTTCATCATTACTTTGTTGGCCTGGGCATTAACACGTGACCTGAGCCAAGACGATAAGTTTCTTCAGAGGAAAAACATGTAGGCTTGTGTAAAGTTATCAGCTGCAGCATGAATTCAAATTCCTTTAAAATGAACCTCCTGCCTGTCCAAATGTCAAATGCTAAATGAAGCCTATCTGCATGCACTGTATATTATTTTCCTGACTTGCCATGAATTTCAAATTCTTACAACTAAAGTACAATTTCCAGCAGAATGTCAGCCAACCAGAATATCATCAAGTGTTGAAGTTGTTCGTGCCGAATACATTTTTTTAAAAGTGTATCTAAAACACCCCCAGGACTCTTTGGTTTGTGTCTGTGTGGGTGTTTCATCATTGTAAGAACTTTTTGTCTTCGGCGTTGTCCAGCGTGACGGCTCACTTGTGCTCACAGAGGAAATAACTCAGACAAGCAGTGCAGGGATACAGGTGGAAAATTGGATCTCAGGAGAATACCTCAATGTATTGAGGAAGCACTGGGGGTCACGAGATAAGTCAGTCTACATCCAAAGTTTCTGACAAGGTAAAGCATGAACATAAAGCTTCTGGCACTCAGTATGTGCTCTCGAGGCGTTACTAGCCCTTGAAAACATATTTCTTTGAAGACTAGATATCCTGAAACGTACATTTATATTTGTTTAGGACTATTTTATGTCAGAAATAGCCGTATGGAAACTTAAAAGACACAAATTTATCTCCAAATGTACGTACAACTGTTATTTCTTTGAGAGTAGGGCTGCAGTAATTGAGTACTTCTGTCCACCGGGGATCCAAAGGTACGCATATTTGTATCAGACTGTTTTAGTACAACCATTTTGCTTCAGGGTAGAGAACAAGAGGTAATTCAAGTCCAAGGACTCCGTAAGGACCAGAAAAGGGTTATGCACCACAAATATTTCATTAATTCATTTCCAAATGATTCATTTTTTTATCTAACCAGTGATTAGTTTTGTGCTGTAACTCAAACAGAGGTTACCTGTGTCTATAGTGAGAAGCTGTACAGGCTCCAGCGGCACACACATGCACTCATTGAGCACAGATCATGTCAGAAGTCAAGAGAAATCCCTGGAGGAAGAATGATGTATCCAGATTCTTGCTGGACTTAAGAAAATTAAATCGAAATGGGTCTAAGGTTAGTAACTCATTTTTACAGTCCTAAAAACTCAGTTTCAGCATTGTTTCTGTGAGTGAAGCAGTGGTCTTGTGT